TTCCTTTCTCCTGCGTGTGTAATCCGACACCATTTTATCTGCGTTTCTTAATTGCTGACCTTCTCTTGTTAACTGCTGCTTGTTCCGAGGGTTCGGTCGTAAGTATCTGTCATGATTTTAGAACCGCGGGATTAGGACTCAGGATCAGGGACAGATAACAGACGCAGAAGACACAAGAGAAGCAGGGAGAAATGTCTGTTCCCAACACATTGTGACGAGCCCTTCCCCAAGGTGATGGATGGGAGATATGTACTGTGTCACTCCCGCGTTTAACTCTCTGGCGGTCGACTTTCAGATTTATAACTTTCAGCAGGAGAGGCTATCTCTTTTCCCACACCTTCAACACGCAGCAAAAGCTCTTAATAACCCTCTTACTTGACGCCAGCCATTACCCGCAAGCTAATGAATGAAAACGTGTAACCCGTCTCTCATCTCGACGAGGTTTAGGGAGCACATCTTTCACATTTTTATTCATGTCTTTGTGCGTCTCTAGTTACGTCTCTGCGTGATGCACGAGGGATTCTCTCATTGCAGCACGCGGGCGGGAGACTTATCACTATCATCGGTTTATAGCTCTTGTATTTCCTTAACGTCTTAGCGTGATATTCAATATGCGAAAGTTGTAATCCCGCGGACGTTTCGGCTGTACACCTTTGAAATTTCGAAAATTCGCCATCCTTGCTTTTCATGGGTCGTTAGCTGTCTGGGCAATAGATTATGTAGCCGCAGTTCAAAGGGCCGATTAATCTTGCGGAAGGTCAAAAAAAAAATACCTTCAGAACTTTAAACGTTAGAGCTTTTCTGGAGCAGTTTTGTAAATCAGGAAGCATGTGTTGTAGTAGTGTTTAATGTGTAGATCTGAGTGTGTGTGTGTGTGTGTGTGTGTGTGTGTGTGTGTGTGTGTGTGTGTGTGTGTGTGTGTGTGTGTGTGTGTGTGTGGGCGCGCTAAACCGAATACTAATTTCAACTCATTTTGTAGAAATGCGCTAAGTAACACGTATTTTCCGAAGAAAGAAAAAAGTATACATTTTTCTCTAGAATGATTGCAGTAATTTGAAATACAAATATTTCCGTTACCTTGAAGGCACGGGAGAGAAAAAAATATATATAAGCCGATAACGATGTTGATAATTAATGCATATGCATTTAATTTCTCACATCGAGCGCACGTTGCAAGGTTTATTTATAACAGAACT